GGCGAGTGCTCAATCCACTGAACTAAACCAGCCAGGGCAGGGAACTATTTTTTTTAATATCAATTAATAATTTGAGATTAGAGTACAGTAATTTAGGAAAAATACTATACACACAAATAAGCACACACAGGTAAATACTAAAGGATATGAACTAGTGATATTTTGAATACAACAAAAGCTTAATTTCCACTTGTTTTGGAGCTTTTAAAAAGGAATTATATGAAATATTGTGATATTAAAGTTACGCTTTGGGCATGTCAGAGTAAAGCTGGAGGCAACTGATTCCTAGTCATGTTTCAACATCTGTCAGCAAAATAATGTCTAAGGCAGACCTAGTATTGTTTGATTGAAGTAAGAAATCAAATATAAGGCCACTAAATATAGGCCACTAACTGATATTCTATATTTTGGGCTTTTTTTCTTAAAAGATCTTATTTATTCATTTTTAGAGAGAGGGGAAACGAGGGAGAAAGAGAGGAAGAGAAACATCAATGAGTGGTTCCCTCTTGCATGTCCCCCACTGGGGTCCCAGCCCACAACCCAGGCATGTGCTTTACACTGGGAATTGAACCGGGGACTTTTTGGTTTGTAGGCCAGCACTCAGTCCACTGAGCCACATCAGCCAGGGCTATATTCTAGGCTTTTAATATGTACAGAATAATTAAGGAGACTAATGAATAAAAAATAGAAAGAATATTTTAAAACATATCATGCTCAAAATAATGCATAGGTAAGCTAAACTGTAAGCTGTAATTGGTAAAATGTAACACTAATGAAAATGAGTTCTACAGGTGAATATGCTAAACTAAATTTTGTAAAAAATATGCAAATTATTTATATAAGAAAATGTCTGAATTATTCCAAGTGTGAAATTAGTGTATTTCTATAAGAGGAGGGTTATATATATGTTTGATATTGATTTATTCATTATAAAATATATGCCAAGTGCCATACTTTGTGCCAAGTGGTGTCAGATGCTGAGATACAGTAAAGAAAAAGAAAATCATGTCTTTATTTTCATATCTGTGTTTCAGAGTATAAGATATATAGATATAGAAATATAGGAAGGAGGGAGGGAGGAAGGAAGGAGGGATGGGTGGGAGGAAGGAAGGAAAGGAAAAGAAAACAGAGGAAGAAGGAAAGAATGAATTATTTATGGTTACATGGTCTCTAAAAAATGCGAATTTAGTTGTGACATGTGGTGGCAGTCCATCAGTCCAAGTAATCCCACACGTAAATCTGCACGTGGAGGACAGAGATGTGCTGACAAAGAGGTAGAGAGCTGCTCAGATGTCCAGGCCTGTCCTCTGGGAGCTCGGTCAGTTTCTTTCTGTTCTCTTGTCTTCAGGTTCCTCATTTCAAAAATCAGGAGTTGGGTCAGGTCTTCCAAGGCCCCGTCTTCTGTGTTACATTAGGTGGTTTGGACAGTTTCAGTTCGCACTCTAGATTATATGTAGCCAGTGTGCCAGCGGATGGGTCTCAGGTGATACATCCAGATGTTAGACAAGATGGGACTAAAACCAGGGCTGCAGGCTGATACTCGTTTTCTGTACAATACCAATCAAGTATTTCTGTTCAAGCCTTTACTACAAAGTTTCTTACCATTGTACTTTAATCTTCATATATTAATCTCTGTTTAAAAAACAAAGTAAATAAAAACAATAATGAAAACAGAGCTAGATAATGGGCACCCTTGATAACTTGAAAGGTCAAAATCGACTCTGTTCATTTGATTCCTTATGCATATCTGGGAATATTCTAGTCTAGGCTGTGTGTCCTGCATAAGCATTTTTAAGTATTGAAAGCAGAAGAAGTGATGTATATGCTGGAGGATTGGAAGTAAGAATGATATGAGCAGGCTAAAGAGACATTAGGAGCTTGGGGCTAGAAACCTAATAAGGCAATGAGAGGCAGGCAGAGAGAAAATAGTTCTTAATGGCTTGCATAGGAGATGTTGATAACTCTATGATACATATACGGACATGAAAATAAGTCTTTTTTTCTTTTCCACTTCCTTGATGAATGTGGCTGAGTTGTGATATCTGGCCAGGCATGGGATTAGAATGCAAATGACTTGGACTTCTCAGTGCCCACTGGGAAAAGGAGCAAGCCCAGGCATCTGGGAAAGAAATCAAGCCAACCCAAGCTGTCTGTGTAACTACTTTTTAACATTAAGACAAAGACATAGGAGCAAGAAGGAAAGAAACAGAGAAGCTGGGGTTCAGAGGTTGAGCCTTGAAGAGGAGCTAGATGGGAAGAACAGAGTTGCTCTCTTCATATTGCGTAGGTACCACACTTCCGTAATTCCCAGGCACCTCACTATAGTAATCAAAGGAGCAGCAAATACTTTTATTACACCATAGATTATAAGAAATCCAACAAAATCGAGCTGAAAATATTGTCTTTCTATCTGTGACTTTCATTATGTCACAGTAATCCTCTTGATATGACATTTGCAAAAGTGTCTAAGAGTATATCTGTCAGGTTCTTAAGTTCTTCTTGACTATTGCTTCTCTCCATCCTCTTGTTTCTTTTTCATAAGTGAGATTTTTGCTGAGAATAATGGGGTGTCCTCTTTGTATTAAAAGGAAAGAAGTCTTAGAAGAACTCAAAGTTTCATTTCAACCAAGCTAAATAAATGAAATATGTTCATCCATTTCTTAGTATATTTATAATGACAAAATAGGGATAGATATTTATGGGGAATGTGTATGTATTATCTATTTGATTCCCTGAATAGCTTATGGTCATACTTATTTAAATTAAACTCTTTCTATTCATTCATTAGATATAGAAAATTTAAGTCTTCATTTATATTTTGGACATTTGAAAAGAAAAAGAAATTCAATTCCACCGTAATAAATTCTAACATCAAAGAAAATTACAGTTTTTCTCTTCTTAATTGAGAATATTTAGAGAAGCAAGATGTTCATGCACACTCTTTGAAATTATCACCTGAAGCAGTAGCTATTAAGCTGTCTTGTCAAGTGCTGCTTGGCTTGCATTTTTAATAATATTTATGGTACCTGGACTTTGTACAGGCAAACACTGAATTGCTTGCTTTATAATTTTGTAAGATGCTGCTCTTTCAATTCCTTTTACTTGCTAGCAGGGTCCTATTGGAATACATGATGCAGAAATAGGACTTCTATAAATGATTTAAGGCCAAGGATTTAACATCCATTTGTGTTTTATTTAGAAATACATTATAAAATAAAATCTAAAGCATACATAATGTAGCATTTTGATTTTTTCAGAGAAGAAAAAAATCTTCTTGATGTTATTTTTCATTTTACTGATTTACAGAATATATATTTAATTAATCTTGTTGTTGAATTACTTGTTGATTGTAGTAAGTTGATTACTTTTACTGCTCTCATTCAGTTAGTTGAGGTGCTCTTTTTTCCACAAAATATTGATCGCGGCATTGAGTGACAATTCAGAAATTGATACCTGGATCGCTTCATAGTGTAAATAGTTTAATGACAGAACACTGAAATAGAAGGCTCAGTTAGAAAATCAGAAGCTATTAAATACATTTGGAGAGATGACAAGTGAGATGAAATGGAAGAACTGAGGCTTCTCATAACACCTTAATGTGAAAGTTGTTAGGTGAGAGAAAATCTCGACGTCCTTCTCTTGTGAATTTAAGGAGCTCAGCAGTTTTCCGTCAGTGGCACTTTTCACTCGTGTCAGTTTGACAGAGGCTGGGATTTTGGGAGGGGCCCTGTGAGGCAAACGATTTATGTGCATCTTCTGTGACTCCACATTTGTCATGTTTGTCAATTGAGTGGAATCAAGAAATAATGCTGTATTTCATTTTAAGTCTAAAGAAACGAGGTTCCATTAGGTTTATCTATATTGATATCTGAAATTGGATTCTGTATTTATTGAAAGTCATTATGGCTTCATTGCACTCTGTTTCACAGCCAACTTTTTAAGAGTTAAAATTGTATAGTTTTGTATACACAATTTTTCATTGTCTTCTTATTTAAGACATTTTTTAATAATAATATGGAGAAAAGTTTGGTTCTCTATTTTTCAGACAGTGGTTATGGTACATGAGCTTCTCAAAAATGGAATATTTTGTTAAGACAGTGATTGGCTCAGACCTCTTCTTTCACCAAATACTATTTTTGAAGCTGTATAAATTATACTTAATTTTCTACATTCTGTATATGTTTAGAATGCTTTGAGGTCATTATGCATAAAATAATGCATTGGTAAGAAAGAATTAATGCATTTACAGGATATAATAACATGTCTGCACTTGAAATGACAAGGCTGACTGTATTACTAATTTATAATTTTTATCTCTATTTTACATGTATTTAGGTTTGTATTTGTGAATATATCTGTGAATAAACATTTAGTTATTCAATTTGTAAAAGAGTCCAACACAGACTGTCTTAATGAGATAAAACTACATTATTAATTTTAAACTAATGGATTTTCCTTCAAGTTTTATTACACTCATGTGTTATTTGTAACATTCCAGAATTAAATGTGTGAATTCACATACTTTTTTCTTCTTTTTCACATTTACTGCTACTTTCTCATTGTGGAGTTTTAAAAGATATTTTTCCTTTTACTTTAAAAATTTATCCCATTCTATGTACTTTCTTTCAGATAGACATCTCTTTCTTTCAATGTTTTTTGTTGTTAACTTCATACGCCTTCAACTCTGTTTTATTTTTACTCTGAAATATATGTGTTTTTGTAGGTAATATCATTCATATGCATTCACCTTTGAGTTACATTAGAGACTATGAATAATACATTACTAATTTACTTAATTTATAAAAGGGAATATTAAAAAATCTTTTGGTTGTTGCTGATGTTCGAGTATAGTTGCCTCCACTTTAAATTCTTGCTGTATAGCTCCTTCTCCCAATACTAAATATGGAAGCTACAGAAATTTCCACATCTGAAATAGTTTTTACTATTTTTTCTGGTTACTTCCTATTTTTAAATGTGTTTTTCTATCTTATGTTACACAGTGGGAAGAAATTGGTGAAGTTGATGAAAATTATGCCCCTATCCACACTTACCAAGTATGCAAAGTTATGGAACAGAATCAGAATAACTGGCTTCTGACCAGTTGGATCTCCAACGAAGGTGCTTCCAGAATCTTCATTGAACTTAAATTTACTTTGCGGGACTGCAACAGCCTTCCTGGAGGACTGGGGACCTGTAAGGAAACTTTTAACATGTATTACTTTGAGTCAGATGATGAGAATGGGAGGAATATCAAGGAAAATCAATACATCAAAATTGATACGATTGCTGCCGATGAAAGCTTTACGGAACTTGATCTTGGTGACCGAGTCATGAAACTGAATACAGAGGTTAGAGATGTAGGACCTCTAAGCAAAACGGGATTTTATCTTGCCTTTCAAGATCTGGGTGCTTGCATTGCTCTGGTTTCTGTGCGTGTGTACTATAAAAAATGTCCTTCTGTGGTACGACACTTGGCTGTGTTCCCTGACACAATCACTGGAGCTGATTCTTCGCAGTTGCTAGAAGTGTCAGGTTCCTGCGTCAACCATTCTGTGACAGATGAACCACCCAAAATGCATTGCAGCGCAGAAGGGGAGTGGCTGGTGCCCATCGGGAAATGCATGTGCAAAGCAGGATATGAAGAGAAAAATGGCACGTGTCAAGGTAAGGGTTTGCCGCGTGTCTGCAGGTGCTGTCTGCTTCAGTTGGATCATGCATATGTATGTCATCCAAGGATCACAAGCAAGCGACCTTTTACTTGGCTAATTTATGGAGATTATTTCTTTTCAAGTTTGATTTCTCTCCTCAGAATTTAAATTTTTTGGCAATGGTGAAAGATTTAACGTTACATTTTATTGGCTATACATATTTAATACTCAGAATATCTTACTTGCAGTGTAATATTCATATTCATTTTGTTTTTCAGAAGTTTTATTTTTGAGCAACTTAAATGGAGGGATCATTTCTTTGTGTGCACTCTCTTTGAAAGATTATTATCTGCTACTGCGCTGCTATTTTGGTCCTTGAAGAGAAAATAGTACTTTCAGTTGCTTTATAAAATTCAAATGCAAATCTTATTTGAGACTTGTTTGGGCATGTTTCTAACCCTTTTAAAAATTCTTCAGAAATAAGTTTAGTCATATGGTCTCCATAGGAAAATATTTGTTAGCTGACATGACTTAGTTTATTGTGTTGTTTACATATAATTTCTATCCCATGTTTGCTTTTAAAAACATTGCAGATACATTTTAAATGCATAGTAAGTAGTGCCTAAGAAAATAAATGCTTAGAAATAGAGCCAAAACAATAAGGTCATTTGAAAACAATTTGCACTTGGAGATTTTTTTGTTTTAATTTTTCTTTTAAATTGCAACTCGATCATGCATGCTTCCCTCTTCATTTGAAAATACACTTATTTTGCCCACCGTGTGGTGAGTCACCCTTTTAAAACTTGATTTTTATTTATGGCGTTTTGAAACAAGATAGTACTTTGTGTTAAAGTAAAGAGCAGTTTATAAGGAAGAACACATTTTTTTCTTGATAACCTGAACTCGTTTTCACCATGATAAACACATACTACACAGATAATGAGAGTTAATGTGTGTTAACTAAGGAGAACACCAAATGCTGAGAAGTCGCCCTAATCCCACCTGTTACCTTCAGGTGATTTTTTTCTTCTAAATTCCATATGTGATAGGAATCAAACTCGTTCAGCTGTTTTCCAGGTATGAATGTATATTGATTACAGATCCAGGGAAACAAAACTAGGAAAATTACCTATAAATCATCATGACTTTGCTTAATTATTTCTCTCTAGAAACATGTAGCACCATTTTTTAATTTTCTTTTGCAGCATCGGCTCACATGCATTTTTGTCCCCTGTAATTAACTGTGGTTATTTGTCCATGGAATCTACACAACTGTGTACACATATCTGTTTGCACACACATGCGGACAAAATTTTATGAAACCAGCGGTATGTTTCAGAAATGCTTTCAAGATTGTCAGGGAAATTAATTATATTTTACTCAAGGTTGGATTTAAAGGAAAGTTATAACTAACCTTACTTTAACTTTTTTTGAGCAGTCTTTATGGTATAAGGTGAAGATATATATAATTTTAGAGAATTAAATATGACCCATTGAATACATTTTTACTCTTTTCCCCCAAATATTTATAATATATCTTATTATTTCTAAAACTTTTGCTAGTATGGTAGAGCAAAATTCTCTGGTGGATTAGTCATTTATATCACTTTAGAGAATATGCAGTCACTTTAGTTCAGTGAACAATGACCTTTGTCTTTATTCAGACTGACAGAGGGTATAAAAGACCTGCATTTTGGGGGAATAGTTTTTTATTGTTACTGGGTTAAAATATTTTATTTATGACAAAAATATCCTGGGGAAGTAAGGTTCTGACATAATATGTCTTAGTGCAGGCATTTAATGCATGTTTTCCTCTTTTCATGCTCTTCTTCTTTTTCAAAATTTTATTTAGTTATTTTTCAAGTACAGTTTTCTATTTCTCCCATCCCAGCCCCCCCGCCCCGTGCTCCCCACCTCCCTCCCATTTCCACCCCCCTTAGTTCTCGTCCCTGTGTCCTTCCCATTTGTTCCTCCAAATCCCTCCCCTTTCATGCTCTTCTTCTAATAATTGAGGAAGAGACACCTAATTCAGAGGCAGTGTGAGCAGCAGAAGCTACATGGTAGAAAACGGCTCTGAGCTGGACTCTGCATTAATGCATTTATTACTGCACCATGCTAGTAGGAAGAAAGATGTGGGACCATGAAGGCTGTGAACTACACAGCCCCAGAGAGTGTTGTGCCAAATATAGTACAGTCTACAAGAATAGAGCCTCTTGGTGTTTTCCAATGTACAAATAATATGTGACCACTGTGAGGAGTTTTGGATGTTTATTTTATAAGTAATATTGAACGAATAAACAAGAGATGATGGTTTGTTTTAGATAATTAAGGCATCACACATATTCCCTAGGCGTCTTTATCTATACATGACATGTATGTGAAAGTAAATGTATGTGTGCATGTGCTTTATAAAATTCCACCATAGCTCTAGCCCAGTGATATTTAACCTCTTTCATCTCATAGCACATATAAACGAATGGTTAAAATTTGGCAATACAACAAAAATAGACTGCTTTTGATATGACCAAAATATATATAATTTTGATTCATTCACACTGGATGACTTATTGGGGTGTTAACTGTTGTCAGTTGTTTTGATTTGACAATCTTAAAGGAAAAGAGGTCAGTGCCACTGACTAAATAATCAGGTTTTGCATGTTTTACAAATCCTTGTAGCACACTAGTTGCACAATTGCTGCTCTAACCCACTCAATGTTTTGAAACTATTTTTGATAGGCCAGACATCTGTGGATCATTCTCAACATTTCCTTTCTAGTCAGTGACTACACAATTCTAATCCATCATAAAATAGTTTTCTTAAAATTGTTTATATCTATTTTCTTTTCCTCTAATCTATAAACATATCTTTTTTAGAAGTTTATTTACAAATTTAATAAAGGAAAAATTAATGAATGACTTGGTTTATAGTTTTGATTTTTGAGTCATGTGAATGTATCACATCTATGAAAATCAAATGTGGTTGTTTTGTTGGTGGAAATCAGGATTTCCACAGGATTTCGAGAAAAGCTTTGCAAGAACCCACACACAGGAGACTGTGCTGTGATGTAGCAAGATGGTATGTCCAAACTCCCTCCATCCGGCTATGAGAAAAGTCCAACCGTGTCTTCAGCAAGGCCCTAATGCAAGTGTTCAAAGTTTCTGCTTCATTATAAGGCTTACTTAGTCTTTTGGAACTTATACCATATGTCGTGGACCCTGGTAGCTGCTAGACCCACATGGTTGCATGCTCAGTGAGAGAGCACATGAATCAATGTGGTGAGCAGGTCACAAGTCAGAGAGAGAGAGAGAGTGTGTGTTTCTTTGTCACCCTGGGGTTGTATTAGCTTGGGATTGGGAGGCACCAAGTGCTATTCAAATGAACCAGTCAACACCCAAGCTTTCATGGCCTTTTGATAGGTCCACCCCCTTTTTAAACTGACTATAAAAGTATTCAGGCTAGAATTTCACTGAGACTCCAGCTCATTGAACTGCAGAAATACCAGATTTTTGTTGTTTTAATCTTTTCTTGTTGTTACTAAGTTTTTAAGTCCTCAAAAATACAGAGCAATGCAACCATTAGAGTAACGTATTTTGGCTTGATAGATAATATTTTGCCCTCATATTACTTGATTCCATACATTTGTCTTTTTTTCAAAAGTCACATGGAATAAAATATAAGGAGTTATTTTTATTTATAGAAATGTGAAACTAGATACATGAATAAAGGGGTATGCTTTGCTATTAGAGCTGATGTAATACATAGAACTTCCCAATTTTTTTCTTTTTCCCACCAAATTATGATTCTCTGTTGTCACTAATGAAAATATTTGAGTTTATTTCTACATGTTTTAGTAGTACATGCATGTATTTAGAAAATGGATAAAATTAGCTCAAGAAGGAAGACCTTGGGCATATTTCGTCTATCATATTTTGCTACAGTTCTCTACTCCTCTGGCTTCTAAGATAAAATGTTACATGTTTTAGAATGGAGATAACATCATGCCTTGGTCACAGTGAGAAAAAAGTGAGATCTTCTTAATTTCCAGTCTTTAATAATCAAGATACATAGGGATTGAATTAAGGGTATAACTATATTCAGAAACTGATGTTTGAGTAAATGCTTTAATGATTTCACATGTTAATATTTACCAAGTGTGTGCTAGGAGGTGACCTGGCAGTTGCTGTAAGAATGTACTCTTGGTACCTGGTATATGGGCAGGACATGGTGGAGATGACCCAAAGGCTTTTAGAGAATAAGCCTCCAGGATTGAGTCTACTGGGCAGCTCATTAACACGCAGCCTAAATCCAGAGGACAACTAAGAAGTGTTTCGGATGGCTGGGGTCGGGGGAGTGATGGGGGGAAACAGAGACAATTGTACTTAACAACAGTAAAAAAAGTGATTTTAGGAGTCCCAGACTATTTAGCAATTTGGAGATCAATTTTTTTCATGCCCACACATTTTACTTCCTTAAAGAGAAATTTACTACATTTTCCATAATAATTTAGTTTTAATGAGGTAACAGAATAGTCTGGTTTCTATTGTATTAACTTAAAACATGAAGCGTTTATTTTTCTAAGGCTTACTTATATGCCTGATTTTCTATAATAAATTGCTTTAAGTATATAAATTTATTTCTTTAAATGCTCTTTATTTTCTGAAACTAATAATGCATTAAATCCACTTATACAAGTATGTTTTCCTACTTGTTATTTATTATTATTTCTGATGAAATCCATGCCATATTTTCTCTTAAGAATATGAATTTTTTGAGTACAAAATTGTTAGCAAAAGCACATTTCAGAAGTTTCTGCTTTTAATTGAAGTGAATGTGTTTGGCAGAAGCAATTGAGTTCACATGAATCAAATGCTGCCTGCTGAGTTCTCTTGTGATTATGTTGCTGACTTACTCATGCAAGGCAAGACTGCTAATCTTCATCAGTTGCTGGTGGAATGAAGTAGTAATTTGAAATTACCCCTAGATAATTATAGTTTCACTTATATCAAATGGAGAAA